GAGGAGCGCAAGGCAGAGGCTCTGAAGCACTTTCCTTGTACATTTGGAGAGTGGCATTGCCTTTTAGATAGGATCTAGGGTGATTTTATTGTTTTGGAGAATGGAAGGGCCCCCATGGCCCTGGCTTTGTCATCAGTGACTGCCATAGCAACAGCAGCTCTGTACCTCATCTGTTGATCCCACCTTTGAAGAGGAGACACAGTGCTCACCTTAATTGCGCTGGTAGCAGCTTATATCCCATGTATCATTTTCACCATTGATTGGAAGCTGCCTTGGGAATTCAGTACCAGGCATTACCCCTCTGGGTGGGAGAGGGAAAAGTGTAAAACTGGAGTGGGCTGGAGTCAGGCATGGCCCGCCCAGTGTCCTCCGCAGAGTGGTGAAGTAGTCTGAGCCCTCTCGGGAGCCCTGAGTCCAGGAAAATATGTCTGATGGAGTCCATCTAAGGCTTGTTTCCAGAAAGTTCAGTTACTCTGTGCAGCTAAATGCTTCAAGAGGAAAGATAGGCTTAGGTTGCTTTTCCTTTGAGGGTTGATTGAAATTTCTTGAGTGAGGAGTAGAGAAAGGGCAGGACCCTCCTCATCACACAGCTGGTGTTTCAGGCTGTGGCCAGTGCAGGGTGGGATTTCCTAGCTGTGGATGAGGTAATAAGGTGTCTCTGAGGGATGAGGTGTCTCAGAGAGTTGAGTCCATGGGGCAGTCAGAATAGCCTTAAGAGAAAATCATGAAGAAGAAAAGGTCCTCCTTTAGCTGCCTCTACTTGGTATCTTAGAGAGGGTTTAGGGGGCTCTCCGTCTTCTGCCCATGAAAAGACTTCTTGAGCCTCTGCCTTCGTGGCTCTTAGGGTTCTGATCTTGATAGCAGCAGCCCCAACCACTTTCTTTCTGTGTGTCTGGTCAGTATTTTTCTCCTTTTGGTGTTTTATGAAGCCATACGATAACCAATGAATCTGTATTATCTTTCCTACCTGAGTCACCCAAAGCCAGCACCAAACCCTGGGAGTCCCTGAAGCCTAACAGAACAGGTAGAACTTGCAAAAGGAATTTGGCTGAGAGCTCACTTCTAATCCTGTACTCATTGTGTCTTTGTAGATAGAAAAAAGCTAGCTTGCCAAAGAGAAATAGTGTCCTAGAAGAACAAAACTTCATATAGAAAGTTCTAGGCAAGTATTTGATGGTTTCCTTAAGGATGTGAGCTTTGTGTTTCCACCTAGCCTTGTAAAATGTTCCTGTGGTATTTTGTGTCACACATCCTACCTTTGATGAGTCTCACATCCCACCTTCCTACAAATAGCTAAAATAATTTTGTTTCATTTTCCCCAGACCAAAATGTTTGATCATCTGTTCAACATTATGGGAGGTCCTGTGCAATGGAAATTTTGCCATTTCCCCAAAACTGGTGGCATAAAGGCTGATGCTCGGGGAGAACCCCGTTGCTGGGGACAGGCAGCTCTGTTTAATGGGATCTTCTTTGGTTTGATGTTCCCATTGTTTTCTCAGTTCTGGGAAGCCTATTACATTAGTACTAATGTAATCACTGAAACCTTTTCTTGAAATCAGGGAAGCAGCCAAACTTTGATTAAAGTTGCAAGTTCTGGGGACTTGCGGGGGTTGCCGTAAACCCTGACAGTGGGTTTTGGTTCAGCATGTAAATGCAACTTTGATTTTCTTAAGGACTGATTGGTCTGTCATGTCCCTGTATCCTCATGCTCATCATCTCAGCAGGCCTGAGAGGCCAGGTCAGTTTGGGTGTTCATCATGAGGATTGCTTCTGCTGTGGAGCTGAGGGACATGGGCACGTTGCTGAGAAGGTGGGGTGAAAGTGAGTGCTGGGGGTGGGTGAGCGCCCTGGTCTTGTTCACAGGGGAGTCTTTCCCTAGCAGTGGAACGCTGTGGTCATTTTCTCTAGCATATTCCCTTAGGAAGTCTAGATTTGCTATTAATCTGGCTGAGAATCTAAGTTCTGTGCCTTAGAGACAGTCTGCACTTTCTCATATTGTGCCTGAGACAGCCATATGATTTTTTTTTCCCACCAAACAAGTACGGAAACAGAAACCAGTTCAAAGGGGGATGGAGTAAAAGATGAGGCAGTAGAAATGCCTTTGAATGGTTTTCTGTAGCTAATTCTCTTTACATTTTGTCCTGCTTTTTTCTTTATGCAGTGCTAGGTGTTTTAAGTTTTCTAGTAGTATTGCTTTTGAGTTACAGTATAACCTGAGTTACTCCTCTGCTCTAACATTGTTGCGGAAGAACTAGTTTATTGTTAGCCAGGTTGCTTGAAAGGTTGAGGGTGGAGTGGTTTGGCATTTCTGTTTTAAATAAACATTTAAGCTCTTCATCAGTACTGTGCCTCAGTAAGCCTGTGCATGGACCTTAGTCTCTGGGGATAAAACATCCAGATTCTAGGCCTCCGTGAATCTTTGATTCTATGAGTCTTTATATAAATAATGTTCTTGGAACAGAAACAATGCAAGGGACGTTTGCACAGAAATAGTCTTTGCTTCTCTCCAGTTTCTTATTCTTGCCAGCAGAATCATTTCTACTGCTACAGCTTTTTTCCCAAAAATGTCTAAAAGTGCTGAAAGTGCAGAGGGAGGGAAAAAATGAGCCACTAAAAGGATGATTCTTTCTTGTACCTACCTCCTCAGTCTCAGTGGGGGCCTTTCCAAGTGATAATGCTAGTTTATGGTTTGTAAAACTTTTCCCTCAAAGAGATTGAACTGAATTTGGTCTCCCTGGCATAGCACAGCCACGTTACTTCTCTTGGCTGAGCCTTTCATTGAAGTTTAAAGCAAAAGTACACTAAAAATTTTCATTTCATTTGCCATATGTTCACAAACATTCATAATAGAACAATTCAGGGGCAAGAATGCATTTTAAATAAATTCATTCAGATGAAATCCCTAAACCTCTAAAAAAGTATTCATGATGGTCAGGGTAGAGTGGGCTGTAATCAGGACTATAAAACATGTTCCTTCCTGCTGCAATGCCAAAAATCATTTATTGTTTCAATGATTAACTGTGGAAATAAACATGCTGATCATTAAACCTCACAGAATCATGAACATTAGAGAGAAAAACTCCACTATGTCACATCTCTGTTACCTCCTGTGTAGCTGTGGAGAGTGATATATTGATAATGAAAGCAGACATTGACCAGAAGGTGCTGTGCTGCATTATATACATTGCTGTTAAGAAATACTGTCTCCAGCCGGACGTGGTGGCTCACGCCTGTAATCCCAGCACTTCAGGAGGCCGAGACGGGCGGATCACAAGGTCAGGAGATCGAGACCATCCTGGCTAGCACAGTGAAACCCCGTCTCTACTAAAAATACAAAAAAATTAGCCGGGTGTTGTGGCGGGCACGTGTAGTCCCAGCTACTCGGGAAGCTGAGGCAGGAGAAAGGTGTGAACCCAGGAGGCGGAGTTTGCAGTGAGCTGAGATCACGCCACTGCACTCCAGCCTGGGCTACAGAGCAAGACTCCATCTCAACTCGCAGACATTATCAGTTCTCTTATTTCACTAGTACTATCACGGCAGGCCGGGCATGGTGGTTCATGCCTGTAATCCCAGCACTTCGGGAGGCTGAGGCAGGCAGGTCAGGAGATAGAGACCATCCTGGCTAACACGGTGAAACCCCATCTCTACTAAAAATACAAAAAATTAGCTGGGCATGGTGCCAGGCACCTGTAGTCCCAGCTACTAGGGAGGCTGAGGCAGGAGAGTGGCATGAACCTGGGAGGCGGAGCTTGCAGTGAGCCAAGATCGCTCCACTGCACTCCAGCCTGGGCAACAAGAGCGAGACTCCATCTCAAAAAAATAAAATAAAAAAGAAATACTGTCTCGGCACGTCTGTATACATTTTTAATGAAATTCGTTTCCATGTGAGTTTCCCCATGAAATTTCTCCCATGGTGTAACCTTATGAACTTTAGAATTTATAATGTTTACTTGCACTAAACATTTATTGGATAAAGTAGTATAAAATACAGACATTAAGAAGCAGCATGCATTTATTTACTGTCATCCTCTGAGCTATCCGGGAAGAGATTTAGATTTTTTTAAAAAAAGGTTCTTACCTCTTTCCAGAGACCAGATCAAGCTAAATTTAAAAGATGAAAGATATTTCTTTTTTTTTTTTTTTTTTTTTTTTTTTTTTTTTTTTTTTTTTTTTTTTTTTTTTTTTTTTTTTTTTTTTTTTTTTTTTTTTTTGAGATAGAGTCTCACTAGGTCACCAGGCTGGAGTGCAATGGCGCGATCTCAGCTCACTGCAACCTCTGCCTCCTGGGTTCAAGCAATTCTCCTGCCTCAGCCTCCCGAGTAGTTGGGACTACAGGCGTACACCACCACACACAGCTGATTTTTGTATTTTTAGTAGAGACGGGGTTTCACCATGTTGGCCAGGATGGTCTCGATCTCTTGACCTCATGATCTGCCCACTTTGGCCTCCCAAAGTGCTGGGATTACAGGCATGAGCCACTGTGCTCGGCCTTGAAAGATATTTCTGATATAACCAAGGCCTAAACATGTAGAGATTAAAGGGAACACTAAGGCATTGACTACTGTTTTATTTCTTTAGCAAAATGAGAGCGAATAACTGCTTCCTTGTCTATAGAAAGCACTCCCCACATATAACAACATTTGTTCTCTCTGGAGGGCCCTGATCTATGATCTTACTAACATCCAGGGATCCCGAATCCAGGAGCCTGTGGTACCAGGCAGATAAAGTAAACAAGTGAAGCAGGTCAGGTGAGACTGCGGTGGTCTGGTGCTACCATTCCCATCTGAAGGAGCATCCATCTGATTCTAAACCCCACCCAATTTGTGCCATGCAGGTTGCTGGCCCAGTGTTTCCAGAACTTCCAGTTTTTCAAGAGATGTTCCATATCCCAGTTTTTAAATGTCGGATCATATTGTGAATACTAGGCCAGCTAAATAAAACATCTGTGGAGCAAAGCAGTCCACATGTTGCCATTTTGTGACCTTGGCCACAGCTTATTGTTGCCATCTATTGCAATGTACTAGTTTACATTCCCACTTAAAGTGTACATTCCATTGAACTTGCCTAGGGAATGTACCTATTAGGTTAAATATCCATTATCTCTGTGTGAGGTTTCCTTAAGGGGCTACCCATAAAGCTTTATTATGTGATACCTCCTTTCCTTTGGAACAATTAAAAAGGGTGCAAAGAAATATGTGCTCCTTTTTAAATATATAGGACTTTTTTCCCAGCCTGTGTCCTGCAGCTTCACCGCTAAAGCCTTAACTCACATTTCAAATTGGTCTGATCTGTTAGCCCAGCAACTCAGCAGAAGCTGCAGAGGAAATGGAGCAGGAGTGAGTGGCTTTGTTATTTAGTAAAATAGGATTTTGTTGTCTGTCTAGCCCTGTTGCCTAGCTCAAATTGAGCAGTTTTTCTCCAGTATTTTAAACTAACAATTTGGGTAATACAGAACAGTAATCCTAGGATTTCTCTGTTGTGCTAACTTCACTCCTATTTGAACTGATAATACTCTCGCAGACATTATCAGTTCTCTTATTTCACTAGTCTAGGACTCATTCACCTTGTTTAATTTTTAATCTCCAGACCTCATTAATTGAGGTCTAACTTGTGCTAGGCAATATTCTACACAGAGAAAACTAAAAAGATTTGATCCCTTTCCCTTCAGAGTTTACTCTCTCAAATAGAAGTTGACTATGCCAAGGGCATGTGACACTGTGCAATGTCCCAGCTTTGTTTTGTTTTGAGACGGGCTCTTGCTTTGTTGTCGAGGCTGCTGTTGAACTCCTGGCCTCAAGCAATCCTCCCACTTCAGCCTCCCAAAGTGCTGGGATTATAGGCATGAGCCACCATGCCCAGCCTATCTCAGCTTACTTTGATGGTAGATTTTGCTGCCTCTAAACAGTCATTTAGCCAAACTGATTTGAAAGTAGAGTGCTATTAACAGCTAAAATGGAGGTTTCTTTCTTAACATATGAAACCCATTAGAAAAGAACAAGGAGAAGTATAATGTGTTTCCCCCCAACACCCATCCCTACCCTATAAAGTACATAAAGATCTTTCCTTTATTACACAGTACACCATAGGGAAGGTTTAGGAGACATTGGTGCCTTAACCTTACATACTTGTATTGGTTTTTGGCCAGGATCATGCACCAGGGAGACCAAGGATAGATTTCCATTAATAATGCCTTACAGCAAAATTATCTTTCATAAGAGTTACCATCTGGGTGATCATGCCCCTCTGACTCCAACACATCCTAATAACTCCAGCTTCTACAAAAGCAAGAGTTAACAGGAACTCTGAACATACATGCAGTGACAGGAAGGCACAACCAGATGCAGGCACTTCACTAGCACAAACCACAAGTCAGGCATGCAAGAAGAGAGCTTTAATGGAGCCTGCTCACGACTCTTCAGTGTCTTCACCCGTCAATTCTGAGGGCAATAACATAAAGCTTACCAGCCCAAGGTTGTAATTTAGTGGGAAGCTGGGGCTTCCTTCTGCCTCCTGCTGCTTAGCAGTGGCTCTCTCCTCACAGACTTTAACTCTGCAGGCAGATCTGGGAGCTGTTTGATTTCTCTCTGCTTTGCATCAAATTCTACTCCCATTTACTGCTGAAGAGAAGCAGAGCTTTCTGACCTATCCAAAAGTTTCCATTGTTGTCTGCTCAACTATAATGCTTCCTTGGAGGTGGAGGACGGTTCTTGATGGTCTTACACTTGGGAATGTGTTGCTCAGCCACCTTGGGAGCAAAGTGGTGGCTACAGTGAGGACACTGAATGTAGTCTGGGTTTTCTGCAGGCAGGATGGGAGGCAAGTGTGAACGGTTTTCACCTTTGGCAGTTACCTGCTGGACCTCTCGAGCCTGGCGGAGTGTATGGATAAAAGATTCGTGCTTCTGTCTCCAGTTGTTGTTCTGAGGAGGTTCAGCCTGTAATGTAAAAGGGAGACTGATCATTCAACTTGGCACCTATCTCCTTCCTGAGTCTCTTTTAGAATAACAGTAAGAAATGAAAAGGGTACTAATCAGCAAGGTCAAAGAACAGGAAAGGAGCAACAGTGGTAACTGACTTGCCAGCGTTGAGGTAAACCAAGGGCCTGCAAAGGAGGTACTGCTGAGAGGCAAGCCACTTTCCCAACAGAATCCGGAGAGGTTCAGTGCTTGGAAGTACCAGATAGTGGAAAGTAAGGAGGTACAGGACTGAAAACAAGCAGGACCCCACGGCTCCTCCCACCTTACGCATCCAAGTGTCCAACACCCAGGCACACTCACAGAAGAGCAAGGATTTATTCTCTGGAGAAATTGAACCAGACAGACTTCTGACTCAGGAAATCCAGACGGTGGAACCGGGTTAATCTTGGGGCTGAAAATGGGGATTAAGTACAAGTGTACATACCAAATTATGGAACTGTCAGCCTCCTTCCCCTGCTCAGCCCCCAGAGTACCAAGCAGATTGACATCCTCATAGGAAAAAGAGGGGTTCTCTGGATACACGGAGCAGTCCAGAGAAAAGCCTTCAGATACTGACCTTGGGAGACACTAATTAAAAGACTCACTATTTGGTAACTTTAATATGAAGATCCTTAGTCAACAAGCCCCACTTAAGCTTAAATATGAAAGGACAGCCAGGAATCATCAGATATTTACTAAAAGCTCTAACAAGAAAAAGAGCCCAGAAAGTCCACAAACAAAAACCTAGGAAGCAGCAACAAGGCAGGAGGCAGAAGAAAACATTTTTTTAACATGAGACCATATCAACAAAATGAGTATCAGAAGAGATTATGTCCATAAAACAAGAAGAGTATACTATGAAAAAAGACAACCAGAGAACCAGAAAGAACTATTATAAATCAAAACTTTGATAGCTAAAAATAAAAATTATTTAAATAGAGGACGGGCGCGGTGACTCATGCCTATAATCCCAGCACTTTGGGAGGCCGACGTGGGCAGATCACGAGGTCAGGAGATCAAGACCATCCTGGCTAACATAGTTAAATTCCGTCTCTACTAAAAATACACGAAATTAGCCAGGCGTGGTGGCACACGCCTGTAGTCCCAGCTACTCAGGAGGCTGAGGCAGAAGAATTGCTTGAACCCAGAAGGCAGAGGTTGCAGTGAGCCAAGATCGTGCCACTGCACTCCAGCCAGGGCAACAGAGCAAGACCCTGTCTCAAAAAATAAATAAATAAATAGAAATGTTGTAAACTAATGTCAAGAAAATTTCTCAGAATGGGAAAAACAGATGAAGATGGAAAGTAAAAAGAAAAGATTAGAAAATTAGAAAGTTAATCCTGGAAGTCCAACATGTGACCAGTAAGAGTTCCAGAAGGAGCAGAGAAAGCACAAGGAGAAATTATTATTATTATTATTATTATTATTATTTTTGAGATGGAGTCTCGCTCTGTTGCCCAGGCTGGAGTGCAGTGGCACAATCTTGGCTCACTGCAACCTCAGCCTCCTGGATTCAAGCGATTCTCCTATCTCAGCCTCCCAAGTAGCTGGGACTACAGGCGTGCGGCACCACACCCGGCTAATTTTTGTATTTTTAGCAGAGACGGGGTTTCACCATATTGGTCAGGCTGGTCTCGAGCACCTGACCTCAGGTGATCCACCTGCCTCAGCCTCCCAAAGTGCTGGGATTATAATCGTGAGCCACAGCACCTGGAGAGGAGAAAATTATTAAGGAAATAATACAATTAACATTCCTAGAATTAAAGGTCACACATTTTGAGACTGAAATGGCTTACCAAGTATCCAGCACAATTATTGTAAAGTTTCAGAATTTCAAAATAAATAGAGAATCCCGTAGCCTTTAAAAAAAAAAAAAAGGTTTCTTGTAATGAAACAGGAATCAAAATGGCATTAGATTTCTCAACAATACACTGGATGCTACGAGCTAGTGGGAAATACCTTAAAAGTTCTAACAGATAATCATTTTCCTCCTAGAATTCTGTACCTAGCCGAAGCATCAAATGGGGGCCTATTACACAGATAGTGTCATTCATTCCAAGACAGTATACCTGCTGTGCACCTTTCTTAGTAAGTTTCAGCAAAGGAAGGAGTAATGCAAGAACAAAGAAGACATGATGCTGGAAACGGGACCCAACAAAGAAGAGAAGCAAAGAGAAGTCCCAAGACAATGGGTTTGCACCAGGCCTAGAGAATAACCAGTCCAGGCTGGAGCAGAAGGGATCAGAGTGGTGGAAGGGAGGTTTTCAGAATTAAAAAATCAAACTGATAGATTATGAGAAGTGTTTGAGCATTATAAAAACGTTAACAGATGTCTGATATCAGATGGATCATTGTGGGGGAAAAAAAAGACAGGTATGTAGAAAATGAAGGAAATGAAAACATACATCCATTATTAACTCTAGGTACATGTGGGCAGAGACAGAATTTGTTCACTCATTAATGAACAAAATGTACATGATCATTACAATGTGAAAGCTAACTTCTTTTAACCAAAAATTGTGATTCAACTACAGTGGAAGGGTAAGAGAAGGACAACAGTAGGAGAGAGGGAATATGAAAGAGAATTTCACTCCCAGCTTCCGTAAGAAGTTACCAGGTAGACCAGGCATTGTGGCTCACGCCTGTAATCCCAGCACTCTGGGAGGCTGAGGTGGGCAGATGACTTGAGGTTAAGAGTTCAGGACCAAGTTGGCCAACATGGTGAAACCCTGTCTCTACTAAAAATACAAAAATTAGCCGGGCGTGGTGACGGGCGCCTGTAATCCCAGCTACTTAGGAGGCTGAGGCACAAGAATTGCTTGAACTTGGGAGGTGGAGGTTGCAGCAAGCCAAGATCAAGCCACTGCACTCCAGCCTGGGCGACAGAGACTCCGTCTCGAAAAAAAGAAAAAAAGAAAACAAAAAGGTAATGTAGAAAATTGATAAATCAAGAAAATAAACATATTATTTAGAAATATAGAAAGGCAGGCCAGAAGAACCATCTGACAGAACTGAAGGCTGCCTCCGGGGGCTGAATTAGGGGCTCCAGTATAGGTCAGTCAGTACTACATGATTTTGTAAATGCATGCAAACACTATTAAATTTTTAAAAGAGAAAAAGACAAACAGCTCTTGGTGATCTGGCATTGTTAATGATGAATAATAGGAAGAGAGACTATTGAAAGAAAAGGATCCTTCCGGAAAGTCTCTTGCTGAAACAGACAAGAAGGCAAGAGAGTGTTAGTGATGGTAACCAGGAACCTTTAAAAGATTCGAAGGCCAGGCACGGTGGCTCATGCATGTAATCCCAACATTTTCGGAGGCCGAGGCGCGTGGATCACAAGGTCAGGAGTTCAAGACCAGCTTGGCCAAGATGGTGAAACCCCGTCTCTACTAAACATACAAATTAGCCGGTGTAGTGATGGGCACCTGTAATCCCAGCTACTCAGGAGGCTGAGGCAGGAGAATTCCTTGAACCCAGCAGGTGGAGGTTGGAGTGAGCCGAGATCGCGCCACTGCACTCCAGCCTGGGCAACAGAGTGAGACTCTGTCTCAAAGAATTTGATCAGGGGAACGTTCCTCAAGTGTATGAGATACTTTAGTAATTTACTTCTTATACTCTAATTCCTCAATTTTATTCCTCATTGTACTGAAATTCTATTCAGTTAACACTTATTAAGCACAAAGCACAAAGATATGTTCCCTGTCCTCAAAAATGCTTACAGTCCAGGAGAGAGACGGGGTGTACGTCTGCTGGAAATTACGTGAAGATTAAAGGATACCAGGAAAATCACCTGTTCTTGAGTACTCTATAGGAATGACAGGAAGGTACAACCACTCAGCTTCCAAAGGCACAGCACTGTGGAATAAGATTTGAGACATTACCAGGGTGGTGCGGGTGCATCTTAGTCTAGGTCCCTTCTGTCTTGGTGTCCTCAATGTCACACATTCCCCTAAACTAGTTGCCATAAAGCTGGAGCATCTGATCTCAGGAACCTAATTATTTTGCTTCACCGTAACTGTATTTATGAATTTAAGAAACACAAGATTATTTTAGGCTCTGACCAAAAATAAATTGCTACAGTGGGACAGAGTGAATTCCCAGTGGATTATTGGGTTGAACTGAAAGAAAACAGGAAAAAACAGTGAGTGGCCATCACATTATTCTCTGCAAGAGCAAAATGTTGATTTCTTCTTTGGAAACTAGATTTCAGGGAGATTCTCTCTGAACATGGATGGGACTTCCTTGTGATTTCCCCAAACTGTACTGAAAAAAAGAACTCTAATTGTAAACAATTTCTTCTAACAACCATCATATAAATGTGAGTTTTTAAAGGCTCCAGCAAATATCAGAAACTGTAAGGTCCCAATGGACAAGAGGTGCCAGCACAGTGGAGGGAGGGTTGGGAAGAAATGAAAACAGAATGACACTCTCTTATTTTTCTGGAATATTAGAACTAGACAGGGCCTCTGAGATCATACGGTCTACACTTTCTCAAACTTCAATCATCTGCACTTTCACTTCATCCTTATAATTAATTAATATTTTTCTGTAAATTTACAATCCCTGGAAATCAGGGGCTTAATATATTGTTATATTTTCCTAATATAACACTGAAACACTAAACACTAAAACTACTAAAATAAAGCTTGTCAGTGTGCCACACCTTGAGAAATAACCATTTTATAAACCAAGTGGCAAAACCTTGACATGTCATTCATTTATGAGATAATCTTCTCCAGATGTGTCCAAATGTGCCTATGAAGTTCACCTAAATTTATCATGTAAGTGTCACGAAGCCCTTACTTTTTACAACCTGGTTTTTCTAAAGTGAGAAATAATTGGCAAGGGCATGGTTTGTTAGATAACCAGAAAGAAAGTCCTTTTTACCTTCAAGGTGTTTACGTTCTAAATGGGGAGAAAAAGAATTCCAAACTTAATTGTGTTTCATCTATTTACGAAGAAGCTATGTCAACACTGATCTTTTTTTTTTTGAGGCAGAGTCTCGCTCTGTTGCCAGGCTGGAGTGCAGTGGTGCGATCTCAGCTCACTGCAAGCTCCGCCTCCTGGGTTCATGCCATTCTCCTGCCTCAGTCTCCCGTGTAGCTGGGACTACAGGCGCCCGCCACCATGCCCGGCTAATTTTTTTGCATTTTTAGTAGACATGGGGTTTCACAGTGTTAGCCAGGATGGTCTCGATCTCCTGACCTCGTGATCCACCCACCTCAGCCTCCCAAAGTGCTGGGATTACAGGCGTGAGCCACCGCGCCCGCCAACACTGAGCTAATCTTAACAGACTACATAGTTAAAGGAATGGTCACAGATTCTAGTCTTGGGAGGTGGCAGAATACATTGCAAAGAGTGAGGCGTTCTCTCCAGGTGACAAAAGCCTGCATTTTTTTTCTTTAGATTTTTTGTGTCTTTTAAATTTTCTACAGTAAACTTTTATTACTTTTATAATCCAAAGGACACAAATTCTTGGTCTAGATTTTTTAGTCATTCTAACCAAGATTTATATGCTGACTCTGCCACTTAAAGCTGTTTGTGACCTCAAGCAAGTTACTTAGCCTGTCCAAGTCTTGATTTTTGAACTGATAAAATGAGAGATAAATGCGAGGATCACATGCAAAGCTCCCATCACAATGCTGGCATACAGTAGTAATCAAGAAATGTTAATTCTAGACGTCAATTCTTCCTACATGACACATGAATATTCCCTAAAGAAAACTGATGATGACAAAACAGACCCCTACAATGATCCCCACACCAAGTCACATCCATAAGGCTCTTGTTACCTTGGCTGAAGCTGGCCCCTTCCAGTTCAAGTACTGCTCTAGTTCTGTGCCCTTAGCCCGGGCCCTGGAGGAGTCAAACACTTTCCTCTTGGAACCCTGCATCCTGCTGCAGATGTTGGAGTGTCTCTCCAGCCTGAACAAGAGGAATTTTCGCCCACAGTGGCTGCACTCACCCAGTTGCGGCTCTTCAGTGGAGCCGCTGGAACCTGAGGAGTCTGGTGCCATGGACAGGCTGGAATTTCTGGCAGATCCCTGCAAAGCACCGCCTGGTGTTTCTGAAGGCGGGGAGAACTTCTCCATCGACGGCTCTGAGACTCGGTCTCGAATTTTGTTATTGCTTGCTACCAGCCTTTCCCTTTTGAGTCTCTGGATTCTATAATCAGAGAGCTGGAATGGACTCGAATTTTGTTGAGACCGTCCCCAAGTTTCATCCTCTCTCCTGTCTCTACTAAATTCTTCCTCAAAATCAAATTCTGGGGAGAAGACAGCTTTGTGCGTGGTGTTGCTGTTGTTACCTTTAACTCTGCTCCTGGGGAATATAATTTTCTGTAGCTCTCTGTTTTCATTTTCCTTGGCCTGTTCCTTTTGCGTCTGGATCCTTCTGAGTTCCTCCTCTGTCTTCTTCAGCTTTCCCCTCAGGAGAATCTGCTTTCTTCGGATTTCCTCCTCTAAGCTCTCCCCTGCAGCTTCTAGTCTTCGGATCTGCACCCACTCCATCCTGTCCAAGTTTGCCAAGGCCTTCTCCGCCTGCATGGCAGCAAGAACAGGATCAACCACAGAAAAGTTGATCTGGTTCCTCACATCAAAGTTCCTGGATGAAAACTCTCTCAGTTCAGGGGGCCTTGGGTAGACATTCTGGTCCCCATCAGTGCCAGACTCACCTGTACTGCACGACTTCCTGTGGACCACAGGTTTCAGTGGGTACGCCCGGTCCACTCCAACTCGTTTCTTCGTAAAGGGGATAAAGTCCTGGTTATTGGCTTTGGGATACCAGGATTGAGGGCCTGATGAGTAAAACAAACCATTTCCTTGGCCCTGGAAATCACTTCCTGCATCTTGGTGGCTGATTCCAGTACAGTGGGGATAGGAGTAGCTCCGGGCTTTTGTGTGGGTGTTCCATTTGGGGTGAGTATGGACTTTATCCAGAGTCAACTCTTTGTTGCTCAAAAGCTGCTTCTGGAAATTATTCCTCAGGTGCCCCTTCAAGGACTGCTGGGAAGAGTCACTTTGTTCGTAAGAGTCTTGCTTGGCTGAGTGGGGCCCTGGAGCTTCTGTTGTATTATGTGGAAGCATAACGCCCACAGGCAGATGTGATGCCAACCGCTGGAGACCAGCCATTCAGGGCCTGGACTGATGCCTACGGGAGATTTAAACCAGATACATGCGAAGAGTTTGTCTGAGGTTCACTCTCGTCTGCTAAAGCAAACTATTTCTACATTTGCCCTGCCCACATTTCCTTAAACTTTTCTGGGGACAGTGGTGCTGGATCTGCCAAAGCTTCCCTTCAAAAACCATTTGGTGAGTGATTACTATGCACAAGACACTGTGTTAGGCCCTGAGGGTAGAAAAACGGAGGTGCTACAGGTGTTCCTGCCACCTAGCTTTCCTCTCTCCAGCACCAGCCTCTGCCACGCACAGTATACTCTATAGTAAGTGGAAAGAGCATCGGATTGAAAGTCAGGTTTTAGGCCTGTAACAGGACAAGCGACTTCTCCCTTGCTGGCCCCCGTTTCTTCACCTGTAAACTGAAGGGTTCGGTCCGAGTCCAGCCTCACCATTTTACAGGTGAGCAAGCTGTGGCCCAGAGGTAGTGACTGGCACAAAGAGCTCTCAGGGCTTCCCTCCTGCTAGAACCGTGCTTGATTCAAAAGAGCACAGAGGCTGCTAGGGCCTGGAGCAGGTGCCTGGCTGTCAAACTCTCATCCCAGGAGTCCCCGTGGCGCAGACGGTAAAAGTTTTGTAACCTGAGCGTTGAGGGCCACCTGACCTGGCTGCAGCCGGTTTTAGATCCTTAAGGCTGAAGTCACGTTCTGTCCCGAAGGGTCAACTGGGGCGCCCCCACTACGGACTCCGCCTCTGGGGCAAGTCCTCTCTCTCTCCTGCCCTTCGGGCCCTTAGGAGGTGCTGACCCTCTGTCTCCCCGCCCTTCTGCGTACCTGAGGCCCTCGGGCACCGCTCCTGCTCAGGGAAAACCCCAGGGCCTAGTTTCCCAGACCCAACCTCCCCCTCAACCGACGGTCGCGCAGGCGCTCTCAGCTAGCTTCTGTTATTCCCGGTGCCTGGAGACCGAGTTACTGGCGGGCCAAGTTCCGCCCCTCGCTGCGAACTCCTCGGGGAGGCGTGCGCAGGCGCAGTGCACCAGCGACCCGGGGCGACCGGGGGTGGGGGTGCGGTCAGCCCGAGCGTCACTTGACCCAGTCAGTGTCCGGCCAACTCTGCAGCCGGGTCCAGCCCTGCCCTTGGGGAGCCGGGGAAGGGCGGGAGAGGCTTTTCTGGGGCTCCATCAAAGAAGAACTTGTACTTTCCTGAGAACGATGCTCCCAGACCTTGGGGTGTGCCCTTCACTGGCAAAGGGCGGAGGCCCTGGCTGTGCCTCCGCGTGCTTCCGCCGCAGGGTGCAGGCGACCGCCTGCCTGGTGGGAGCGGGGCTGCTGCTGGCCTTTCTCGGCGCGCTTGGCTGCGCTGGGCGGGCCCCAGGTATGGCTGCACGTGCGTGCTCCCTGCTTGTCGTCGCCAAGTCTTTGGAACTTGCTGCCAATGTTTTTGCTACGCAGTATCTTTCCGGGGTAATTTTTGTGGCCAATCTAATTATTTTGATATTATAATGTTTTACTCTCACGTGGTAACTCTAGCCGTCTGTACTTAGGGCGTAGGAATGACTCAGCCAAATGTAATGATAATAAAGAACTACCAGATCGAAAATAATCAGTATAACCTGGTTTCAACAGTAAATGATACTCTGTAACTTGTTGACATCAAAAGAAAGTTTATTTTTTTTTTCTTCGCTTCAGTTCATCTGTGTAGGCCGTTGGGAACAGGCAGTTCGCTTTTTCCCTGTAACTACTCAATTCATGCACTTGGAAAATAATGTAGACAAGCAGTCATCAGTGTTAATACTTCAACATGTCATATTACAGCTGTTACCTGTTACAAAGAAATTCCTTGGTGGACCCTCCAGGTCAGTCCTTCTTTTTTTTTTCTTTTCTTTTTTTTTTTTTTAATTCCTCGTTTTCATCCCTAGTTGACTGTACCACCTCTACATATATGCAGCTCCAGATGTTTCCCACTCTACTCAGGGTCCCAATTATCAACTCCCGCAGCTTCCCTCAGCAGAATGTACCGGCTTTCTCTTTCTCTCTCTCTCTCTCTCCTCTTCCTTCTCTCCCTTTCTCCTCTGTCTCTGTCTGTCTCTGTCTCTGTCTCTGTCTGTCTCTCTCCCTCTCTCCTTCCCTCTCCTCTATGAGAAAGAAGGGCCACTTTCCATGAGTTCTCTTGAATTAGTGCTTTTCAGTATCCTCCGGGAATTGACTCCATCACTTTACCCCAGCGTTTTTTGTTTTCTGTTTTGTTGGTTTTGAGGGTTTTTTAAAATTTGTTTTTTGAGACAGAATCTCACCCTGTTGCCCAGGCTGGAGTGCAGTGGCGCAATCTCAGCTCACTGCCACCTCCGCCTCCTGGGTTCAAGTGATTCTTCTGCCTCAGCCTCCCGAGTAGCTGAGATTACAGGCGTCTGCCACCACACCTGGCTAATTTTTTGTATTTTTAGTAGAGAGGGAGTTTCACCATGTTAGCCAGGCTGGTCTTGAGCTCCTGACCCCAGGTGATCCGCCTGCCTCAGCCTCCCAAAGTGCTGGGATTACAAACATGAGCCACCACGCCCGGACTTTGTTTGTTTTGAGATAGGGTCTCACTCTGTCGCCCAGACTGGAGTGCAGTGGCACAATCACTGCTCACTGCAGCCTCGACTTCCACAGCTCAAGTGATCCTCCCACCTCAGCCTCCTGAGTAGCTGGGACTACAGGTGTGTGCCCCTCACACCCAGCTTACTTTTTTTTTTTTTTCTTTCTATAGCGACAGGGTCTCCCTTTGTTACCCAGGCTAGTCTCAAACCCCTGGAGTCAAAAGAGATCCTCCCGCCTCGGTCTCACAAAGTACTGAAATGATAGACGTGAGCCATAGCATCCTGTCTGCATCTTGTTAACTTCAAGTTATACCTCTCCATAAACTCCATCTCTTTGGTTTTAAAATATACTCAACTTTCTCCTGCAAAACAAACCTTACTTCCCATGACCTAACTTTCATATTATGATCCCATTCATTTCTCCTCTTCTCCACAAGGCTTCTTAATGGAAATCTCCACATTTGCTGCCGACATATGCTCATCTCCCCGTCATTGTCCAGTTCATTGTGGCCTGGCTTCTACTTTCTCCACTTTATTTAACTACAGAGCTACCAGTGACCTTCCAAAGACAAAAGCTTCATTTCTTCAGCCTACTCATGTGGCATTATTGATTATCCACCCACTTAGAATGCTCTTCTCAGTTCTCCTGTGCCCTCTTGGTTTCTTCTTTCGTGTTCTTGCTCCATCTTCTTCCAAGTCTCTGGCATTTATCTTTTCCCCATCTGCCCCCTAAATTTAAGTGTTTTCTGAAGCCCTCTTATTTCTTTTATATATATATATATGTGTGTAGTTCCAGACATTCTCTTCTTTAACGATTTCAACCAAATGCTGAAATTTTCAGGTTTCACCTGTGTTTAAATGACAGCCAGCTTAACGTTAGTCTTTCTCATTAGTTACAGACTCAAATTTCGGGACTGTCCATTTGACACCTCCACAAGATCGTTCCTTAGGAACCTCACATTCCATAAGACAACATAAACTCATGATCCTCTCCCGTTCTCAAATCTGCTTCTGCAGTGTGCCCTTGCATGCTCACAGCATCAGTCTTCCATGCTTCCCTCTTAGTTGCCTCTTCCTTCTAACTAATCACAAGTTTTATTGAGTTTTCTTCCTTTTTTTTTCTTTGAGACAGAGTCTTGCTCCATCATCCAGGCGGGGGTGCAGTGGCATGATCTCAGCTCACTGCAACCACCTCAAGCCATCCTCTTGCCTCGGCCTCCCTAGTAGCTGGGACTACAGGTGTGCACCACCATGCCCAGCTAATTTTTGTATTTTTAGTAGAGATGGGGTTTCATCGGGCTGGAACTTCTGACCTCAGGTGATCCACCTGCCTTAGCCTCCCAAAGTGCTGGGATTACAAATGTAAGCCTGGCCTATTGAATTTACTTCTGCCATGTCTCTCATATATGACTCTTCCTTTCCATTTCTGCCTGCTGCCCCAGGTGAGTTTTTCCTCACTTCTCCTTGGGATGGCATAGCCCTCCTAACTTCTGTTCTTGCCTTCAATATCTGCTCTTCAAACCCAACCTTCATGCTGCAGCCAAAATAATCAGTCTAAATATTTCTCCATTCCCCCAGTTTTATTAAGATATAATTGACAACTAAAAATTTTGTCTATATTTGCAGTGTACAGTGATGTTTTGATACATGTATGCATTGTGTAGTGATTAAATCAAGCTAATTACTAAATACTTCTGATCCTACCATTTCCCTCCCCAGTAGCTTCTTCTTCACCTAGAGAATAAAGTTGAAGTGCATAATTTAGCATGGCATTTCTATCTCCCAGATTAGGTCCAGCCTACCTTTTCAGTTTTGCCTCCCCTTAATAAGCCACAGAGTCCAACCCAGTGAGTCTCATCCCTGGCTGTGTGTTAAGACTACTTGGAAAGCAATATCTAGGGGTGAGACCTGAGGATTAACATTTTTTAAAGCTTCCCCAAAGATCCTGATGCACAAGCAGGGTAGCAGACCCCTGGTCTAGCCACAACTGGCTACTTGTACTTCTTCATCTGCATGGTACTACCTTACTCTAAGCTCCACATACTGGGAGCTGGTAGAGCATAGCATTCACGGGAGTTGACTCTGGAACCGAATCCCAGCTCCATCACTTACTGGTTGTGTGACCTTGGATTAAATGCTGTTTCCTCTAAGAACCCTTTCCCAATCTTCCCAATCAGAATTAATTTGTTTGCTCCTTTGTAATATTTTCTGTCCTTGTTATAGCACAGGGCTGGTTCCTGATGAGCTCTCAATGGATTTTCATTTCATAGAATTAAATTATTATGCCGTACATTTTATTGTCATTGTTTGCATGCATATGTGCCCCTACACCAAATTAAAAACTCTTCGAGGGCAAAGATTATATATCATTCATCTTTGTATATTCTAGAGTGCCCCATACGTATTAGACACTCAGTAAGTTTTGAATTCTATAAACTATTTTTTAAATGAATTTTAGAGAAAGAAATACCATTAGCAAGATACTCTATTTAGAGTTATTTTCAAATATTGCCAAGTACAACATTCAGTCCAGCTTGTTCACCACCAACCCTCTGCCTCTCAACACTAAGGTTGCATGATTCTCTAGGATATGGATCCTCACTCTGTAGCAGGGAACTAGCAGAATGATGAATTTCCGTGCCTACTGTCACAAACCCATATCTCATTGTCAGGTCTGCCAACCTGGCATATTCGCATAAGGAGTCTTATGTTATGAAGTGGTGTAATATATACAATCAATCCACAAAGGATCAGTAAACACCAGTTTTCCTTCACACACATTATGAATCATAAGGGCAGCTGGATTCAAATGTTTACACATCAACTCTAATTTTAACCATCCTCATCCACATCCCCCTTGACAATTCCCTTTTCCCAAAATAAATTTGTGTAGTTTGGCCATTTGACTTAGATTGACTAATTCAACTGTAATTCTGGAGCCATTAATTATTTTGCTTGTGCTCTTGCTTTGTTTGATTAGTTATTTGTTCAAGCATTATTTGACATTTTCTTAGTAAAGGAGACCGGTGAGTAGCTTCCAGAAGCCCAGAAGCAGACGTAACCTCCATTGGGACCTCCTGTGCACTTATGCCCCTGTAATCCCCTATTCCAGATTAGTTATGACCCAAACTTTAAGAACTGAATGAAAAGGGACAGAAAGGTTGGATGTATCCTACTCAACATATTTATGATGTTTATTTTTTATTTTATTTATTCATTTATCTATTTGAGACAGAGTCTCACTCTATTGCCCAGGCTGGAGTGCAGTGGGGCAATCTCGGCTCACTGCAGCCTCCACCTCCCGGGTTCAAGCGATTCTCCTGCCTCAGCCTCCCGAGTAGCTGGGATTACAGGCGCCCGCCACCACGCCCGGCCGATTTTTGTATTTTCGGTAGAAACGGGGTTTCACCATATTGGCCAGGCTGGTCTCGAACTCCTGACCTCAAGTGATTTGCCCGCGTTGGCCTCCCAAAGTGCTGAGATTACAAGCTATTTATGATATTTAATGTGTACTGTTTGTCTCTCACCTCCAGAATTAAGCTCCTTAGGACAGGGATCCTGTTTTGTTCCCTAATGTTTGCCAGGTCACCTAGAACAGGTGCCTGGCACACAGTAGCTGTCAGTCGGTATTTAATTGAATGGTTGAATGTATCCCAATGTACTTCTTCGTCTATGCTTTTCTCCCCATGAGAAAATGAGAAGAGGGGTGCGCTTGTTGACTGAGATGGGATGAGCGCTAGGTTTGTGGAGGCCCAGCCGAGTTCCTCGACAGATCCCCAACCCAAGCTTTTGGGTTGCCGGACAACTGCGTCCTGAAATCCCGCCTTCTGGGCGGGCACGGGCCGAGGCGCCCCCTCTGATTGGTCAGCTGGAGATGATGGGCATGAGAGACAGCGAAGGAGCAGCTACACACTAAACTTCCGGGCGCGGAGGTCTGCGCGCCCTGGTGAGCCGTTGGCCTGGTGGTCCCGCAGTGAGCCCGGCGGCCGGTGGGGAAGTCAAGGAGGGTGAGCCGGGAGGGGCCCCCGGGGTGTGCTTGTCAGGTCGATTAGCCTTAAAATGTTAGTAGCAGGGGATTCTGGGTGTTACTAGCAGGGGATTCTGGTAGTGAGGGAGCGGGACCGGGAATGGATGTAAGGAGGTCATCGGTCAGCAGGTGATTTCCCCAGAAGAGGCTTCAGCGGGCAGCTGCGTACCGAAGCTCCCTCTCCCGGCGTCTGGCTCTTCCTTCACACACGCCTTATCACATCCACTCACGATTCCCATTTCCAGGACCTGGAGGTTGGGGAGAGGTCGCAGTGGTTAAGGATGGACAGGGGTGGGTGTGGCCCTTTCTGACTCAGGCTTGCGGGTCCTGGAATAATAGCCCTTCACTCTTCTGCTTTCCTGGTTTCTGACAGGTTTGAGCATGGCAGAAGGAGACACCCTGTTATCAGTGGATTATGAAATTTTTGGGAAGGTGCAAGGGGTGTTTTTCCGAAAGTATACTCAGGTATGTGGCCTGCAGGCTTTGGGATGGTAACCTAGGTTGTGGGCATAGGAACAAGGGACATGTTCCTGACAAATGTGAACTGGAAGCCGCTGGCCAGCTGCATGGCAAAGAGGTAGTTTGTAGAGCAATGAGTATGAAAATGCTGTGCAATCGGTAAAACATGGTGTAAATGGAAGATTATCCTGCTGTTATTATTTGTCTTTTTCCAACAGTGGTGCCTGAGCATCTAGACACACATATTAATGAGCTTCTCTCTTACAAGGGAAATAGAGGGCTTCACCAGTTCTCGCTGTTGTGGCGTCATCAAACCAAGTCAGATTTTTTATAGAAAGGCTAACATTGATTGAAGAGATGGCATTTAGATGACCTGATGTCATGTATATAACATATATAAATGCTTCCTCTGTAGTTGCTGTACTTTCTTCAGACCTCTTTCTCCAAGCTTCCCTCAATTCTCCACTTAATTCCTTTCTATTCTTTTTTTGGTTTTGAAAGAACATTTACATTTTCCAGCTGATGTTTTTCTTATTAAAAACTCTTTATCCGTTCCAGAATAGGTGATGGGAACACTGAATGTGGAGCCTGGTATTCTTCCTAGAGCAATAAGGGAGTATTTGAGGGGATGGACAAACTGTTTGCAGCCTCTACCTCTGCTTTAATGTGGTTAATCTTCCCTCAACAGGCACACATAAATGCAAGCTCAATTTCCCCTCTGTCTTCTGTAGGTATTGGTTATTGCCTTCCCGGTGTGTCTTTAATCCCACAGATAGAGTTAGGACTGCAGAACTTCTTAAGTGTCTCCTTCCTGGGACTGTGGTACTTAAAATTCAAATTCTAACCTGGAAGGAATCTTTGAAATATGAATGTGAATTGTCAATACCTTTTTTCCTTTTTCTTTTTTTTTCTGGAGGATGGTGGCACAGTCACAGCTCATTGCAGCCTTAACCTCCCAGGCTCAAATGATCCTCCTTCCTCAGCCTCCCAAGTAGCTGGGACCACAGGTGCATGCCACCACACCCAGCTTTTTTTTTTTTTTTTTCTTTTAATAGAGAGCTATGTTGCCCAGGCTGGTCTTGAACTCCTGGGCTCAAGTGATCCTTCTACCTCTTTTTCTTTTTTCTTTTTTCTTTTTTTTTTCTTGAGACAGAGTTTCACTCTTGTTGCCCAGGCTGGAGTGCAATGGCACGATCTCAGCTCACTGCAACCTCCGCCTCCCGGGTTCAAGCGTTCTCCTACTTCAGCCTCCCGAGTAGCTGAGATTACAGGCATGCGCCACCACGCCCCGCTAATTTTGTATTTTTAGTAGAGACAGGATTTCTCCATGTTGGTCATACTGGTCTTGAACTCCCAACCTCAGGTGATCCGCCCACCTCAGCCTCCCAAAGTGTTGGGATTACAGGTGTGAGCCACTGTGCCCGGCCAATACCTCTTATTCTAATTATTCAGAAACCATTTCTTCCCATCTGACATTCAAATAGGAAATGATTGTTGAAAACAGAATTGCTGAAACTCATAGCAAGAGCTGTGTTCCAATTAGCTTTGCTACCAATTATGCAGGTAAGTTCCTGTAAATTAAGGTGATTGAGATAATAGCTTCAAAGGTTAGTCAAAGTTGTTGAGGGAAAGGGGCCAGATAGTGGTATATATAGCCCATCTTTCTCTACCTGCCCTTCTCCCCAGTTTAAAGAAAGAATAACAGAATGCAGTAAAACAAATATTGATTGGAAAACTGCATATAAAATGACATCTTTTTTTTTAATTAGGCTTGTAGCTTATTCTTTACTATTTATAATCATTTAAATATATATGTTCATTTGAACAGTTGTTTTGCTGCAGTCTGTTTGCTGTTGATATTTAGCCTCTTTAAATTCCTTCATTTCTAGAGAAGTGGCAAATAATAATTCAGGGACTTTTAAAAACTTGGAATATAATTTACATCCCATAAAACCCATCCTCCTAAAGTGTATAATTTGGTGATTTTTAGTATATTCACAAAGTTGTGCACTAATTCCAGAACATTTTCATCATCCCAAAAAGAAACCCCCTACCTGTTAGCACTCACTCCTCATCCCCTAAACCCCTAATAACCACTAACCTACTTTCTGTCTCTATGAATTTGCCTATTCTAGATTTTTGTTGTTGTTGTTGTTGAGACGGAGTCTTAACTCTGTCTCACTCTGTCGTCCAGGCAGGAGTGCAGTGGCATGATATCGGCTCACTGCAACCTCTGCCTCCCGCGTTCAAGTGATTCTTCTCCCTCAGCCTCCCAAGTAGCCAGGATTATGGGCATGCACCACCACGCCCCGTTAATTTTTGTATTTTTAGTAGAGACGGGGTTTCACCATGTTGGCCAGGCAGGTCTTGAACTCCTGACCTCAGGTGATCCACCTACCTCGGCCTCCCAAAGTGCTGGGATTACACTCGTGAGCCACCATGTTCACCCTATTCTTGATATTTACTATAAATGGAATCACAAATGTGGCCTTTTTTTGTGACTGGCTCCGTTCACTTAACATATTGTTTTCAAGGTTTATCTACACTGTAGCATGTATTAGTATCCTATTCCTTTTTATGGCTGAATAATATCCCATTGTATGGATATACCACATTTTATTTATCCATTCATCAGTTGATGGAAATTTGGGTTTGATTTTTGGCCATTATGAATAATAGTGCTGGGAACACATATGTGCATATTTTTGTGTAGACAATGTTTTCAGTTCCATTGAGTATATACATACCTAGGAGTAGATTGCTGGGTCATATGGTAACTTTATGTTTAACTTTTTGAGGAACTGCCAAACTTTTCCAAAGCAGCTATACCATTTTATGTTCTCACTGGCAATGTGTGAGAATTCCAGTTTGTCCACGTCCTTGCCAACGATGGTTACTGTCTTTTATGTTAGCCATCCTAGTGGGTATGAGGTAATAGCTCATTGTGGTTGTTTGTTTGTTTTTCAGGTATTAATGAATTTAAAAGGATTTAAATCATATGAGGAATATTCTGCAACTACAGTGGAACTAAACCACATTAAAAAAAAATTAAAAAGATAACTGGAAAATCCCAAAATATTTGGAAACCATATAGCACACTTACTTCTAAAATTGTGGTAGAATACATATAACATAAAAATTACTGTTTTAACCATTTTTAAATGTACAATTCGGTGGTCTTAAGTACATTGTTCTGTTTATCTACAGAACACTTTTCATCTTGCAAAACTGAAACTCTGTATTCATTAAACTCCCCATTTTCTCCTTCCCCCAAGCCCCTGACAATCATAAATCTACATTCTATTAATTCAACTATTCTAGTTACCTCATATAAGTAGAATTTCACAGTATTTGTCCTTTTGTGGCTGGCTTATTTCACTTAGCGTAATATCCTCAAGTTTCATCTGTGTTATATTATGAAAGTAAAAACAATTTTCTTTCTTTGTAAGACTGAATAATATCCTGTTGTACATGTATACTTTCAGTGTGGTTTTGATTTGCCTTCCTAATGACTAATGATGTTGAACATGTTTTCATGGGCTTATTGGCATATTTTATGTCTTCTTTGGAGAAATGTCCATTCAAATCTTTTTGCCCATTTTTAGTTATTTGCCTCCTTATTCTTGAGTCATAAGAATATTTTTATTCTGGATACTAGTCCCTTATCAGATATATGATATACAAACATTTCTCCCATTCTGTGGGTTGTCTTTTTAATTTCTTGATAGTGTCTATGAAGTACAAAAGTTTTTACTTTTGATGAAGTCAAATCAAATTTATCTGTTCTTTTTTTGCTTATACTTTTAGTGTTATGTCTAAGAAATCTTCCTAATCCAAGGTCATGAAGGTTCATGCCTATGTTTTTTGTTTGTTTTGTTTTTGTTTTTTGTAGCGACTGGATTTCCCCAAGTTGCCCAGGCTGGTCCTGACCTCAAGCAGTCTGCCCACCTCAGCCTCCCAAAGTGCTGGGATTACAGGTGTAAGCCACCACACCCAGCTGTCATGCCTATCTTTTCTTTTCCTTTTTTTCTTTTTTTTTAGACAGAGTCTTGCTCTGTGCAGTGGTACGATCTCGGTTCACTGCAGCCTTCTGCCTCCAGGGTTCAAGCGATTATCCTGAGTAGCTGGGATTACAGATGTGCACCACCATGCCTGGCTAGTTTTTGTATTTTTAGTAGACATGGGGTTTCACCATGTTGGTCAGACTGGTCTCCTGACCTCGTGATCCACCCGCCTCGTGATCCACCCGCCTCAGGCTCCCAAAGTGCTGGGATTACAGGCGTGAGTCACCGCACCCAGCCGCCTATGTTTTCTTCAAAGTTTCATAGTTTACACTCTTAGATTAAGGTCTTTGATCCAGTTTAATTTTTATGTGATGTGAGGTAGGAAATCCAGCTTTATTCTTTTGCATGTGAATATCCAGTTGTCCCAGCACCATTTGTTGAAATTAGTATTATTTCCCACATTCATTTGTCATGGCACCCTATTCAAAAATCAACATAAATGTAAGGATTTATTTCTGGACTCTCAATACTATTCCATTCATCTGTATGTCTGCCTACTGTAGTTGAGATGTTTGTCCCCTTCAAATCTCATGTTGAAATTTGATCCCCAGTGTTGAAGGTGGGACATAATGCGAGGTATTTGAGTCATGGGGCCAGGTACCTCATGAGCAGATTAATGCCCTTCCTGCAGGGTGGGAGGGTCAATGAATTCTTACTCTATTAGTTCCCTTGAGAACTAGTTGTTATTTTTATTTATTTATTTTTTTGAAACGGAGTCTCATTCTTGTCGCCCAGGCTAGAGTGCAGTGGCACAATCTTGGCTCACTGCAACCTCCGCCTCCAGGGTTCAAGCGATTCTCCTGCCTCACCCTCCCAAGTAGCTGGGATTACAGGCACCCGCCACCACACCCAGCTAATTTTTGTATTTTTAGTAGAGATGGGGTTTCACCATGTTGACCAGGCTGGTCTCGAACTCCTGACCTCAGGTGATCCACCTGCCTCGGCCTCCCAAAGTGCTAGGATTACAGGTGTGAGCCACTGCACCTGGTGAGAACTGGTTATTAAAAAGAGCCTGGTACCCCACCTCTTCCCACCCTGCCTCACTTCCTCTTTAACCATATGATCTCTGCACATGCGGAATCCCCTTTGCCTTCCGCTGTGAGTGGAAACAGCCTAAGGCCCTCACCTGATGCCAGTGACAGTCTCATGCTTGTACAATCTACAGAATCATGAGCCAAATAAACCTCTTCATAAATTACCCAGCCTCCGGTAGTTCTTTTTTTTTTTTTTTTTTTGAGACGGAGTCTTGCTCTGTCGCCCAGGCTGGAGTGCGGTGGCCGGATCTCAGCTCACTGCAAGCTCCGCCTCCCGGGTTCACGCCATTCTCCTGCCTCAGCCTCCCGAGTAGCTGGGACTACAGGCGCCCGCCACCTCGCCCGGCTAGTTTTTTGTATTTTTTAGTAGAGACGGGGTTTCACCGTGTTAGTCAGGATGGTCTCGATGTCCTGACCTTGTGATCCGCCCGTCTCGGCCTCCCAAAGTGCTGGGATTACAGGCTTGAGCCACCGCGCCCGGCCTTTAACTTTTGTATTTTTAATAGATGGGGCTTCACCATCTTGGCCAGGCTGGTCTTGAACTCCTGACCTCATGATCACCCCACCTCAGCCTCCCAAAGTGCTAGGATTTCAGGTGTGAGCTACCATGCCCGGCCCTCAGGTAGTTCTTTATAGCAACACGAAATGGTCTAAGCCACTATCCTTATGCCAATATCACACTGTCTCAGTTACTGCAGCTTTGTAGTAAATTTTGAAATTGGGAAGTGTGAATTTTTCAACTTTGTTTTTCCTTTTCAAGATTATTTCTAGCTATTCTGGGTCCCTTATGTTTCCATGTAAATTTTAGTATCAGTTTTTCGATTTCTGCAAAAGCAGTGGGATTTTGATAGAGATTGAGTTGAATCTGTAGATCAACTGGGTAGTAGTATCACCTTAACAATATTAAGTCTTCCAATACATCAATAAGGGATGTCTTTCCATTTACTTAGTCTTTAATTTCTTTCAAGAATGTTTTGTAACTTTCCGTATATGTCTTGCAGTTCTTTTGTTAAATTTATTCCTAGACATTTTATCTTTTTGATGCTATTATAAATGGAATTGTTTCCTAACTTCATTTTCAGTTTTTCATTGCTAGTGTATAGAAATACAATTGATTTTTGTATATTAATTTTATATCCTACAACCTTGTGAGACTGTTAATTAGCTCTAGTGTGTGCCTGTGTATGTTCCTTAGGACTTTTTGTATACAAGATATGTCATCTGCAAGTAGAGGTAGTTTTGCTTTTTCCTTTCCAATCTGAATGCCTTTTCTTTTTCCAGCTATGGATAGACCCTCAAGTATAATATTGAGTAGAGTGGTAGTAGCAGACATCCTTGTCTTGTTCCTGATCTTAGTGGGAAGGTTTTCAATCTTTCACCATTAAGTATGATGTTAGCAGTGGGTTTTTCACAGATTCCCTTTATCAGGTTGAGGAAGTTTCCTTCTGTTCCTAGTTTGTTGAATGTTTTGATCAAAAAAGAGGTATTAGTTTTTGTCAAATGCTTTTTTGCCATCCATTGAGATTATCATGTAGCTTTTGTTTTATTAATATGGCATATTAAGTTGATTACTTCTTGCATATTGAAGCAACCTTGAAAGAAATCCTAATTTGTCATGGTGTACAATTCTTTTTAGATGTTGCCTGATTTGGTTCACTAGTATTTTGCTGAGGATTTTTGCATCTCTGTTCATAAGAGATATTGGTCTATGGTTTTTTGGTGGTGTTTTTCTTGTGACGGCTTTGTTGTTTTGGAGTTTCTTTGTTTTTTCTTTTACATTGGGTTTTTTTTTTTTTCTCTTTATTTTTCATTTTTATTTTTTAGCTTTGGTTTTAGTATAAGGATAATGCTGGCTTAATAGCATGTGTTGGGAAGTGTTTCCTCTTATTTTTTTTAACCCTTAATTCTTGGTTTGGATCTTCTATTTTTTGGAAGAGCTTGTGAAGGGTTGGTAAAGGATTGTTTTTTAAACATTTGGTAGAATTTACCCATGAAGCCATCTGGTCCTGGGCTTTTTCTCTGTGGGAAGGTTTTTGATTAAAAATTCCATCTCTTTACTTGGTATAGGTCTATTCACACTTTCTATTTCTTCTTGATTCAGTTTTGGTTGTTTGTCTTTCTAGGTTATTAGGTTTCTTTTCATCCAAGTTAATCTAATTTTTTGGCATATAATTGTTCATAGAATTCCCTTATATCCTTTTTATCTTTGTAAGGTTGGTGGTAATGTCTCCTCTTTTATTTCTGATTTTAGTAATTTGAGGCTTTCATCCTTTTTTCTTTATCAGTCTAGCTAAAGGTTGTCAATTTTGTTGATCTTGTCAAAGAAGCAACTTTTGTTTTATTGATTTTCTCTATTCTTCTGCTTTCCATTAATTTCTGCTCTAATCTTTATTTCTTTCTTTCTGCTCATTTTGAATTTAGTTTGCTCTTCTTTTTCTAGTATCCTAAGGTGGAAATCTTGGTTATTGATTTGAAGAGAGTTTCTTTTTAGATTGCAACTAGAGTTGGTGATTATATTCCTTAAAATGTTGTCAGATGATTGTTTAAGCAAAAATATGGTTATGAGGTAGAATTCGCTTTTTGGAATTTTCTTAGGGGAGAAAAACCCTGTTTACTTGTGCAATAGATATTCAAAACTGAACATAAGTCAATAACATTATGCTATCGTTAAAAAAATAAGAACAGAGTTGAGCACACAAATGAAACCAGTAGGAAACACCCGAATTCTCAACACTGGTCAAATTTTGTAGCATTCTGTTCAACTCTCAAGAGTTCAGGTAAGGCCAGGTGCAGTGGCTCACGCCTGTAATCCCAGCACTTTGGGAGGCCGAGATGGGCGGATCACGAGGTCAGGAGATTGAGACCATCCTGGCTAACACAGTGAAATCCCATCTCTACTAAAAATACAAAAAAATTAGCTGGGAGTGGTTGCGGGAGCCTGTGGTCCCAGCTACTTGGGAGGCTGAGGCAGAAGAATGGCGTGAACCCGTGAGGCGGAGCTTGCAGTGAGCTGAGATGGCGCCACTGCACTCCAACAGGGGCGACAGAGTGAGACTCTGTCTCAAAAAAAAAAAGAGTTCAGATAAATCACACTGCAAATTTTTAAATATTTATTTGACTGTTAAACCTCCTGTTTAAAACTGCACATTCTTACAGCTATTTACCATACATATAAGATATCTCTTAAGAACTGGAGATAGTCAGCTCCCGTGGGTTAATTTGAAGCAGAAGAGGGCAGTTGTTATACCAAGTCAGTTGGATGTGGAGTCTTACTCAAAATTCATTCTCAGCATTCTTCTTTTATGGTATCTTCTTTGGCACTTAGCAGTGCATCGGGTAGGCATCTTCTATTTTTCTTCATTCTTTAATTTCCTTTGTATCCCTCAAATGGTTATTTATTTGGCTGGAGTCTGTTTTGTTCATTAAGCAAACATATCTTTGCTTTGAACATGTCTTTGATTTGATGGATACTTACATTCCTCATCAAACATTTTTTTGTTATGCATAACGTTTTCTTTGGCCAACTCCAGCAATTTCCCACATTTTGACATGCAATCATGTTAACTCTCATTTTCTTTTGTAATCCAACACCTTCTATTTAGATAGATTACTTTAACAATCAGTGACTTAATATTCTAATCATAAATTTATACAAAAATAAAATTACCTCCAAAACATTGCTACCTTTCCTAAACATTCAGTCTTGCCACAGTTTAATAAAAGGAAAGAACATTAAAAAGGATAAGCCACTATAATGATTAGATGCTTTTCATAAGCCTAAAGGCATTGTGATTATTTAGACAGAAGAGAAGAAAGTCAAGTGAAAACCTGATAGTTATGTAGTCTCATGGTTTGCTGTTGAGAGGCTGATCACCAGCTGCTTTCCTTTTCTAGGAAGACAACAAAGTGGGCTTTGGCTACAACATAAATATATTGGGTTAGACAGTTTTACTACAGTAAGAACAATGGGATGAGTTGCTCAGGAAATTGTGAAATACTTTCTAATGATCTTTAAAGATATAACGAACACGAATTCATCTGGATTTTAGGTGTGGTCCTGGTTAACGGCAAAGGGAAGGATCAAAGAACTTCATGCTTTTTCCATTTAACATACCCAATAGATTCTTGATTAGGGGAAGGGAAAATGAGCAAGATACAGTCCAGTATTCTAAAAACAATCAGCCTTAGGGGATCATTTCAAAAGCATCTGTTTTGGACTTAAGTCTTTGGTACTTAACCAAATTGACTTCACACTGAAAAATTCTAGTGCCTGAGTTTTATAGGGTAGAAGAAAGACATGGAGTCAAGTGGCCAACACTTCATGTGAAGATAAGCAATGAGCTCCTTCTTGCTGTCTTTCTTTTGACTGTTCTGGGCAATATCAAATTAGTTTCAGTGGTTTGATTATAGGCCAAATTGTAGTCTTACCTTGTTTTCCTCAATCTCACTGGATCTCTCTCTCTTTTTTCCCCCCTTAGGCTGAGGGTAAAAAGCTGGGATTGGTAGGCTGGGTCCAGAACACTGACCGGGGCACAGTGCAAGGACAATTGCAAGGTCCCATCTCCAAGGTGCGTCATATGCAGGAATGGCTTGAAACAAGAGGAAGTCCCAAATCACACATCGACAAAGCAAACTTCAACAATGAGAAAGTCATCTTAAAGTTGGATTACTCAGACTTCCAAATTGTAAAATAATGGCCTGAATTTAAGTTTTGTTTTTGGTTGATTTGGTTTGGTTTTTATTGTTAATAGAGATAGAACTATTGTGTGTTAATATTAGCATTAGTCAATAAGTTATTTTAATGTCAGATATTTGAATGTTATTATATATTACCTGTATGATGGAAGGATTATTACTGTACACAAATCTAATCAATAAAAACATTAGAACCTTCTGCTTAGAGTACTTTTTAAAAATCTTCAGTGAACTTCCTTTTGGGCGAAATAAGAAGTATTTATTCAGTAAACATTTGTGGGAAGAGGATTTTGAGGTAATTTAAAGAAGTCTGAAAGAAAAAAAGTTATGTTACTTAGTCATTTCTTTAAATGGTTTCTATGAAATGTTCTTCAAGAAATTGCATGCCTAATAAGAACAAATACCACAAGTTCAATTTGTTAGCTCTGTTCATATGATGTTTGGATGAATTACTTCTGCTGTTGTTTCTTTTCTCTGGGTAAGGAATTCACATAAAGTTATGTTACGGGCCGAACTGTGTCCCACCAAATTCATATGTTAAAGTCCCAGTCCCCAGTACCTCAGAAAGTGACTGTATTGGGACACAGAGCCTTTAAAGAGGTAATTAAGGTTGAATGAGGCTGTGAGGGTGGGCCCTACTCCAGTCTGACTGGTGTTCTCATAAGAGAACATATTGGACATAGACACACGTGTGCAAAAATGAAAGATCCTGTGAAAATGGCCATCTACAAGCCAAGGAGAGGCCTCAGAAGAAATCGTTGCTGCCAACACCTTGATCTCAGACTTCTAGTCTCTAGACCTGAGAGGAAATAGACTGCTGCTGCTTAAGTTACTCAGTCTGAGGTATTTTGTTATGGCAGCCCTAGCTATAGTAATAATCATAAACAGTTATCAGGATTTTGCTTAATCAGCCCTAGAAGACTGGTTGGTTGGGTTTCGTTAGTCACTAAACTAGTATATGTCAAATGCTTACCAGGTCTGACAAATTTGTTATAAATTCCACTTTAAATAAATTCTCAATGAAAATGAGATAGAAAGCAAAAACTAAGGACTGGTGAACAATTTCAAAACACTTTATTCTCACAGCATTCTCAGAGTTCTGCTCTCCTTTAGTTATAAAAGAAGCTGTGGTGGCATTGGGGAGATTCAAGTCAGTGAAGACAGTCTTGGTGTTGTCATCTGTAAATTAAGAGTTGAGCAAAGGCCGGGTGCGGTGGCTCACACCTGTAATCCCAACACTTTGGGAGGCCGAGGCGGGCAGATCACCTGAGGTCGGGAGTTCAAGACCAGCCTGACTGACATGGAGAAATCCCCGTCTCTACAAAAAATACAAAATTAGCCGAGCGTGGTGGCGCATGCCTGTAATCCCAGCTACTCGGGAGGCTGAGGCACGAGAATCTCTTGAACCCGGGAGGTGGAGGTTGCCATGAGCTGAGATCACGCCATTGAACTCCAGCCTGGGCAACAGCCTCCGTCTCAAAAAAAAAAAAAAAAAAGAGTTGAGTTAGACAGTTTCTCAGCCTTTTCCAGCTCCAAATGCTATAATTCTAAGATGGAAGCCTCTGGAATTATTCATTCATTCAGTGCCTACCATAAGCCAGGCACTGCTCTTGGTAACTGGGATACAGCAGTAAACAAAATATATAAACTCTTTACCTTCACATAGCTTACATTCTAGGGAGAGAAGACAATAAGCAAACATAAAATATATATTGAATTAAACGGTAGTTAAGAGCAAAGGTGAAAATGAGAAAAAAGGAAAGGGAACACACGGGAAAAGAAACAAACAAACATAAAAACAAAAGTAAAAGTTACGACATAGTCTTTCACACCATGCCAAAAGGGGATAAGGATTGAGACTGTAGGTACCCGTTCACTGAACCCTGGGATGCGGATCCTTGGCTAGAATACCTGACGCGCATGCGCACTGGTGTGTCGTGGCCCGGCGCGCCCCTCCGAAGCGCATGCTCGTGGACTCGCACGTGCACGAGCCTCAAGACCCAAGGTGCGCGCGTCGGCGTCCTAGGCGGTTGGTGTCCGAGAATTGGTTAAGCTGGACTCGAGGTGACTCTGGGGGAAGCACGCGACGAAAAGATGTTGCCGGGGGCTCTTCTAACACCAGAAGGGCCTGATGATGGCTGCGCGCAGCTTTCGGAGCCGGATGTGCGAGGACTCCGGAGGCCCGGCGGCCTGGCGGCAGGGCGGGCCCGGTTTGGGGACAAGGACGGGGCTGGCTGGGGAGGGGCTGGGCCTGGCGGGAAGGCGGCGCTGCCCTGGACGCGGCCCGCGGGGCGCTCCCAGGCCCCTGGGCCCTGGATCCAGGCCAGTGCGTTGCGTCCGTCCCAGGCGCAGGCGTCATCAGGAAATCGTTGGGTTTACATTAATCGGAATACTTGTTAAACGTTTGCCCCTCACTTGCTGCCGGCTGCGAAGTGCATTAGCTTAGAAAGCAGCAGAAGTTCTGCAGTTAGAGCCCTGATTTTCCCGGGTTCGGAAAACCAACCTCACTGCCTACAGGGGGCTCCCCAACGCGGCTTTCACTGATGGAGAAGAGGGGGAGTAATGGCACTAGAATCTTAGGGTTTGGGTTTTTTTAATGTTTTTTGTTTTTGTGCTTTTACTTGCAGGAAAACTTAAAATCAAATTTAGGCAGCCCCATGCCATCATTATTATTACCAAGGTAGTTTATGCCCGTCTGTAAAGACCAAAAGAATATTAATAATAATGACCGTCTGGCCGGGCGCGGTGGCTCACACCTGTAATCCCAGCACTTTGGGAGGCCAAGGCGGGAGGATCACTTGAGTTCAGGAGTTTGAGACCAGGCTGGTCAACATGGTGAAACCCCATCTCTACATAAAAGACAAAAATTAGCCAGGCGTGGTGGTGCGCGCCTGTAATCCCAGCTACTTGAGAGGCTGAGGCTGGAGGATTGCTTGAGCCCAGGAGGTGCAGGCTGCAGTGCCGAGATTGTGGCATTGCACTCCAGCGTGGGTGGCAGAGCAAGACCCTGTTTCAAAAAAGAATAATAACGACCTTCTAAAAACATGAGTAATACATGAACAGGATTTAACAATCGAATGGCAAAGAAAGGTTTATATGAAAAGGAATTTTCCTGCTTTATCTTTTCCCATTCCCAACCTCTTTCCCTGAGGTGACTATACTTAACCATAATAATAATAATCTCTTAATGCCCCCAATTTCTCTTTGATACAATTTGATTCTTAAAATTTCTTCCTGTTGCTTCACCTTATTGCAATGTCTTAGCAATTCATTATAAGTACTTTTCTAAAAGTCATGGTTATTGTGTAATGTATAAATGTTATGAAACTAGCTTGGACATTTTTGTCGTGAATAATTTCTAGCTAATGTTCCTTAGCTGTATTTAATTTAAGCATCTGTTTTTGGTGAAGTGGTTAGAATTTCTAATACTGTCTTTACCGGTCAACTTCAAGTGTAATTATGATTTCACTTTAGGACATGTGGGATTTAGAAAGGAGCATTGAAAATTATGAAATTATGAATGTTTCTTTGGATGTGAATTCATTGCAGCAAGCATGAGCTGTGCCTAGAGATCAGTGGTATAACTTTGTTTTGCTTTGTTTCACAATTTGGTTTAATAAGAGCGATTTCATTTGCCTCAAATGCTATTTCTTCATAATGCTTGAAAGAAATGTGTAATGCTGAAGCTTTGATTATGTGTGTGTGTGGTTTTTTTCTCCTATAGGCAATTATTTCCAGTCAGAGAAGGAAACCATTGCTTGGCATTCTCACCATCTTTCTACCTACCATGATCAAGTGCTTGTCAGTTGAAGTACAAGCCAAATTGCGTTCTGGTTTGGCCATAAGCTCCTTGGGCCAATGTGTTGAGGAACTCGCCCTCAACAGTATTGATGCTGAAGCAAAATGTGTGGCTGTCAGGGTGAATATGGAAACCTTCCAAGTTCAAGTGATAGACAATGGATTTGGGATGGGGAGTGATGATGTAGAGAAAGTGGGAAATCGTTATTTCACCAGTAAATGCCACTCGGTACAGGACTTGGAGAATCCAAGGTTTTATGGTTTCCGAGGAGAGGCCTTGGCAAATATTGCCGACATGGCCAGCGCTGTGGAAATTTCGTCCAAGAAAAACAGGACAATGAAAACTTTTGTGAAACTGTTTCAGAGTGGAAAAGCCCTGAAAGCTTGTGAAGCTGATGTGACTAGACCAAGCGGTGGGACCACTGTAACAGTGTATAACCTATTTTACCAGCTGCCTGTAAGGAGGAAATGCATGGACCCTAGACTGGAGTTTGAGAAGGTTAGGCAGAGGATAGAAGCTGTCTCACTTATGCACCCTTCCATCTCTTTCTCTTTGAGAAATGATGTTTCTGGTTCCATGGTTCTTCAACTCCCTAAAACCAAAGATGTATGTTCCCGATTTTGTCAAATTTATGGATTGGGAAAGTCCCAAAAGCTGAGAGAAATCAGTTTTAAATATAAACAGTTTGAGCTTAGTGGCTATATCAGCTCTGAAGCACATTACAATAAGAATATGCAGTTTTTGTTTGTGAACAAAAGACTGGTTTTAAGGACAAAGCTACATAAACTCATTGACTTTTTATTAAGGAAAGAGAGTATTATATGCAAGCCAAAGAACGGTTCCACCAGTAGGCAAATGAGTTCAAGTCTTCGGCACCGGTCTACCCCAGAACTCTATGGCATATATGTAATCAATGTGCAGTGCCAATTCTGTGAGTATGATGTGTGCATGGAGCCAGCCAAAACTCTGATTGAGTTTCAGAACTGGGACACTCTCTTGTTTTGCATTCAGGAAGGAGTGAAAATGTTTTTAAAGCAAGAAAAATTATTTGTGGAATTATCAGGTGAGGATATTAAGGAATTTAGTGAAGATAATGGTTTTAATTTATTTGATGCTACTCTTCAGAAGCGTGTGACTTCCGATGAGAGGAGTAACCAGGGCAGTTTCCAGGAAGCATGTAATAATATTTTAGATTCCTATGAGATGTTTAATTTGCAATCAAAATCTGTGAAAAGAAAAGCTACTGCAGAAAACATAAGCACACAGAATTCTAGGGATTTAGAAGCTATCAGAAAAAATACAAATGATGCATTTTTATACATTTATGAATCAGGTGGTCCAGGCCATAGCAAAATGACAGAGCCATCTTTACAAAACAAAGACAGCTCTTGCTCAGAATCCAAGATGTTAGAACAAGAGACAATTGTAGCATCAGAAGCAGGAGAAAATGAGAAACATAAAAAATCTTGCCTGGAACATAGCTCTTTAGAAAACCCATGTGGAACCAGTTCAGAAATGTTTTTAAGCCCTTTTCAGACACCATGTCACTTTGAAGAGAGTGGGGAGGATCTAGAAATATGGAAAGAAAGTACTACTGTTAATGACATGGCTGCCAACGTCATGAAAAATAATAGAATTCAGAATCAACCAGAGAGATTTAAAGATGCTACTGAAGTGGGATGCCAGCCTCTGCCTTTTGCGACAACATTATTGGGAGTACATAGTGCTCAGACAGAGAAGGAGAAAAAAAAAGAGCCTAGCAATTGTGAAAGAGGAAATGTTTTTAGTTACGGACGAGTTAAATTATGTTCCACTGGCTTTATAACTCATATAGTACAAAATGAGAAAACTAAATCAATTGAAACAGAACATGCATTTAAAAATTATGTTAGATCTGGTCCCACACGTGCCCAAGAAACATTTGGAAATAGAACACGTCATTCAGTTGAAACTCTAGACCTCAAAGATTTAGCCGGCACTTTAAGTAGAGAATCTGGTCAATTGCCCAACAAAAAAATTTGCAGAACAAATATAAGTTGTGGGCTAGAGAATGAACCTACAGCAACTTATGCAAAGTTTTCTACTTTTCAGCAAGATAGCAAAAAATCACAAACAGGTTGCATATTATCTGATACATCCCCCTCTTTCCCCTGGTATAGACACGTTTCAAATGACAGTAGGAAAACAGATAAATTAATTGGTTCCTCCAAACCAATCGTCCGTAAGAAGCTAAGCTTGAGTTCACAGCTAGGATCTTTAGAGAAGTTTAAGAGGCGATATGGGAAGGTTGAAAATCCTCTGGATACAGAAGTAGAGGAAAGTAACGGAGTCACTACCAATCTCAGTCCTCAAGTTGAACCTGACATTCTGCTGAAGAACAAGAACTGCTTAGACAACTCTGATGTTTGTAAAATCACTACTATGAAGCATAGTGATTCAGATAGTAGTTGCCAACCAGCAAGCCACATCCTTGACTCAGAGAAGCTTCCATTCTCCAAGGATGAAGATTGTTTAGAACAACAGATGCCTAGTTTGAGAGAAAGCCCTATGACCCTGAAGGAGTTATCTCTCTCTAATAGAAAACCTTTGGACCTTGAGAAGTCATCTGAATCACTAGCCTCTAAATTATCCAGACGGAAGGGTTCCGAAAGAGAAACTCAAACAATGGAGATGATGAGTCGTTTTAATGAACTTCCAAATTCAGATTCCAGTAGGAAAGAGAGCAAGTTGTGCAGTGTGTTAACACAAGATTTTTGTATGTTATTTAAAAATGAGCATGAAAAAACAGAGAATGGTGTCATCCCAACATCAGATTCTGCCACACAGGATAATTCCTTTAATAAAAATAGTAAAACACATTCTAACAGCAATACAACAGAGAACTGTGTGATATCAGAAACTCCTTTGGTATTGCCCTATGATAATTCTAAAGTTACCAGTAAAGATTCAGATGTTCTTATCAGAGCTTCAGAACAACACACAGGAAGTCCGGACTCTCCCAGTGGAATGTTAATGAATCTGGTAGACGATGCCACAGGTGACCAAAATGGAATTTATTTTCAAAGTGAGGAATCTAAAGCAAGAGCTTGTTCTGAAACTGAGGAGTCAAACACGTGTTGCTCGGATTGGCAGCAGCATTTCGATGTAGCCCTGGGGAGAATGGTTTATGTCAACAAAATGACTGGACTCAGCACATTCATTGCCCCAACTGAGGACATTCAGGCTGCTTGTACTAAAGACCTGACAACTGTGGCTGTGGATGTCGTACTTGAGAATGGTAAGTACGTACTGTTCATGTGCATGAGATGCTTTTGAAAATGGAAATGCTGGACAAGGAGTAAGATCCTCATTATCCAAAGAGATTATCTCAACAGATAGAACATTTTGAAGACCACTTATAAAACATATATTGTATTTTCATGCTATATGAAGATTATCTACATCCAACGCTAATTTTTATTTTTTTTGAGACGGAGTCTTGCTCTGTCACCCAGGCTGGAGTGCAGTGGTGCGATCTTGGCTCACTGAAACCTCTGCCCCCACCCCCGGTTCAAGCGATTCTCTTGCCTCAGCCTCCCATGTAACTTGGATTACAAGAGTGTACTACCATGCCCAGCTACATTTTTTTATTTTTAGTAGAGACAGGATTTCACTATGTTGGCCAGGCTGGTCTCAAACTCCTGGCCTCAAATGATCCACCCGCCTCAGCCTCCCAAAGTGCTGGGATTATAGGTGTGAGCCACTGCACCCAGCCTCTATGTCCAACACTATTAAATGGAGAATACAGTTAAAAGATGTCAGTGTGTGTATGTGTAAGAAAGAGGGTGATAGGTATATATCTAGAACAACAACAAAAAAAGGGGGTGAGACTGTCCAATTTTAATGAAATGATACTATTAATAGTTGGGAAGATCCACAGTACTTTCCTACCTTGTTTTCCCTTCCTGTCAAATGCCCAACTTTCCTAGAAACTTGTCTTTAAAGGTGCCTGTGGTGTCAGCATGGTATTTTACTGGAACTTTCTCTGCATGGCTTCCAGGTTAAGGGCCAGAATGATTCTGTAATCATCCTAGGTTTTCCAGTAAACTCTATGGCTTAGTACAGTACTACATTTATGAGCTTTTTCTTTCTGGAAAGTAGGACTTGTCCATGAATTTTCAAAATATAGGTCAAGTATGTACTTTCATGACTATACTTTTGAAGTGTGCTTTATTGTAATGCATATGGTAAAATCTCCTTGATCTGTTTATGTTATAAAAGTAGCTGTTATTCAGGAAGACAATAATATGGCATTTATTTATTTATGTATTTATGTATGTATGTATGTATGTATTTATTTATTTATTTATTTGAGACGGAGTTTCACTCTTGTTGCCCAGGTTGGAGTGTAGTGGCATGATCTCGGCTCATTGCAACCTCCGCCTCCCAGGTTCAAGCAATCCTCCTGCCTCAGCCTCCCAAGTAGCTGGGATTACAGGCATCTGCCACTACACCCGGCTAATTTTTTTGTATTTTTGTAGAGACGGGGTTTCACCATGTTGGCCAGGCTTGTCTCAAACTCCTGACCTCAGGTGATCCACCTGCCTCGGCCTCCCAAAGTGGTGGGATTATAGGTGTGAGCCACTGTGCCCGGCCAATATAGCTTTTAGATCATACCACAGGGCTACATTTGAGCCTGCACTAGGACTCTGGGTTCTCAGTCCACATTTAAAGTGATATTGCTTTGGCAGTGTGTTGGGAGCCAGATGTTGGGAGGTGATAAACCTGATTTCCATCTGGCTATAATCTTGGCTTTGTACTAGGAGGATAAACATTACATCTGTATCCATATTAAAAATTTTGAATGCTGCAGAAGAATGGAACATGTGTAAATGTAATTATAAGTCAATTTTTAATTTCTTCTGACCATGAGTACCTCTAGCAGGAAGCTGTGATTTCTTTAAGGTTAAATGAGACCTTTACTTTTCAGTGTTTCTCTGTTTTTTCCTTATGAAAAAAAAATCACTGTAGTAACTTCAGTAGTATTTCTTAGTATTTTGTAGTATTCATTAGGAGAAAACTCATTTCTTTCACTGTTGTTCCTGAGACTATCAAGTTGCTCTTAAAGCCACTTTATGTGCTTTTCAATCTATGTGGTTTTATGTCTGACTTATATTGAAGGCTTATCAGAGGTAAATCTACAGCACTGACACCTCATCTTCCTGAAATGCAACTGCTTCTGATATGGTGCCAAAAAATAACTGGATTACATTACACTGTGAGATAGCTGTTGCTAAAAGAAAGGGGGAAATCTTAGCTGCCATACTCAACATAAATATCTCTTCCTTTTGAATCTGGATGTTTAAAACACTTTAACCTGCTTAACATTCTGGATTAGCATACTTTTTTATAAACTTCTGAAAGCCATGTTAACTCATAGTTTCCCAATGAAAAATATTTTTGGTATAAAAAGAAGTTCCATGAACAGATGGCTCCTCAGTATCCCGCTACCTTTCTGGAAATGGCCGATATACATCATGATATTAGGACATTGTCAAACTTTACATAAAAGTGTTACATGAAATAAATTGTTAAAAGATAATTTTTTTTTTTTTTTTTTTTTGGAGACAGAGTTTTGCTCTTGTTGCCCAGGGTAAAGTGAAATGGTGCGATCTCGGCTCACTGCAATCTCCGCCTTCCGAGTTCAAGCGATTCTCCTGCCTCAGCCTCCTGAGTAGCTGGGATTACAGGCATGCACCACCATGCCTGGCTAATTTTGTATTTTTGGTAGAGATGGGATTTCTCCATGTTGGTCAGGCTGGTCTCAAACTCCCAACCTCAGGTGATCTGCCCGCCTCAGCCTCCCAAAGTGCTGGGATTACAGGCATGAGCCACTGGCCTAAAAGATAAATTTTAATGTACAGAAGAGAGGATCTATAAAGGTGATTTTGAGTAGTAGTGTCAAGTCCCCAAGCCTTGGTAATTTTTTCTTTAAAATGTATTTAATGCAGTTCTTTCTGTTAGTAGTTATAAACCTTATTTCACTTCATTATCTTAATTTTATCATTCTTAACCTCTCCAGGTTTAGTCCAACGGATTTATCTCTCATGTTTTCCTCCTGTTCTAAAGCTGTCAAATTCAGCATTGTTTCTACAGCTCAAATCTTATTATCCTTCATCGAGAAGAACAGCATTTGGGCCAGATCTTACTAGACTCTGGAGTTTGAATTGAGAACCTTTCATTTGTCCACCTGTTCACTTTTTCATGAAACATTTGTTGATCATCCGCACTGTGCTAGATGCTGTCACATTGCAGGTTAACTGACTTTGCTTTCAGGAGTTCACAGTACTATTAGGGAAGATAGCTATAATAAACATAGTTGTATTATAATGAGACAAATGTTAGGATAGAGACATACATTGGAGATAAGAGACATAAGTTGGAGATCTGTGAAGGTTGCACCAAGTTATAGGTGACAATTAAGTACTGCTGTATGTCTAACACAGGGCTTCGCCGGATAATTTTTTGTCGTAGGGTTTGTCCTATGCATTGTAGGATATTTAGCAGCATCCGTGGCCTTTATCTGCTAGATGCTAGTAGAACGTAGAACCCTTTACTTAAGTTGTGACAATGAAAAGTGTCTCAAGCCGGGCACGGTGGCTCATGCCTCTAATGCCATCACTTTGGCAGGCGGAGGCGGGCGGATCACAAGGTCAAGAGTTTGAGACCATCCTGGCCAATATGGTGAAACCCCATCTCTACTAAAAATACAAAAAAATTAGCCAGGTGTGGTGGCTCATGCCTGTAATCCCAGCTACTTGGGAGGCTGAGGCAGGAGAATTACTTGAACCCGGGAGGCGGAGCTTGCAGTAAGCTGCCACTGCACTCCAGCCCGGGTGACAGAGCAAGACTCCATCTCGGAAAAAAAAAAAAAAAGTGTCTCAAGACATTGCCGATGTCCCCTCGTGCAAAATGGCCCCCCATTGAGAATCACAGTGACCTATTCTAGGTCTTCATTCTGTCTGGTATGAATGGATAATGGAACTAAGCATTAATATAGAGTCGTATATTGACAGCATAATTTCATTAAAGGATTTCTGATTCTCAATCTGGTGTTTAGTAGTCTGCTTTATGTCTTGACTCAGTTTATGCAGAAAGAGGTTTTATGTGATTAAATTTTTAAAGAGTTTACTTGTATTTTAAGTTCACATTTCTAGGTTTTTCTTTCTTATATTTAGGGTCTCAGTACAGGTGTCATCCTTTTAGAAGCGACCTTGTTCTTCCTTTCCTTCCGAGAGCTCGAGCAGAGAGGACTGTGATGAGACAGGATAACAGAGGTAGGGGTGGCAGAGACTGCTGGGGCACCCAGTACACATCGTACCACCTAACTCAAAAAACAAAGCAGGCTTGCATTAAGCTTGATCAGTGCCAGCTGTGCTGTTCTGGAATCAGGAATTCCCCATGGCGCTATTTAACAGCGGAACTAATTAATTTAGTGCATGCATTTAGATCAGAAATTACTATTCCAGACTTGAGGTCAGTATTTGCTGATTATGCATATTCTGTGGTGTCTTGTAATTAGGGGACATGTTTCTTATTTTTAAAAAGGCTGGACTTACCCTCCAAGTTGCTGTAGTTTTATGTAAGCAAAACTCTTCAAAAAAAGCTACAGGCCTGGCGCGGTGGCTCAAGCCTGTAATCCCAGCACTTTGGGAGGCCGAGATGGGCGGATCACGAGGTCAGGAAATCGAGACCATCCTGACTAACACGTTGAAACCCCATCTCTACTAAAAAAATACGAAAAACTAGCCGGGCGACATGGCGGGCGCCTGTACTCCCAGCTACTCGGGAGGCTGAGGCAGGAGAATGGCGTGAACCCAGGAGGCGGAGCTTGCAGTGAGCTGAGATCGGGCCACTGCACTCCAGCCTGGGCGACAGAGCGACACTCCGTCTCAAAAAAAAAAAAAAAAAAAAGCTACAGACATCAATTTTTTGCGTTGTTTAAAAATAGATAAGGTCTATTTTATTTAAAGGCAGTAAGGCTACAAATTTGAGCCATAGCTTCTCCGTCAGTATTCCAAAATATCTCTTGTAAACAGTTTGGAGAAAAGTTGTAATGCCAGAAGATACAGTCACCAACTCTAGTTTAAAAAGTAACAGATCAAAATAATTTAGAGATATAGCAAACACTGAACATTTGTAGAATATAGAAACAATGTATGTGATCTTTGGTCTTGAGGCTGCAGCTCACCAAACTGGAAATGCCATTCCCTCCTTTCCCTGTGGTTCTGGATGCCAACTTTACCTGTTCCCTTTTGCCCTAGATACTGTGGATGATACCATTAGTAGCGAATCGCTTCAGTCTTTGTTCTCAGAATGGGACAATCCAGTATTTGCCCGTTATCCAGAGGTGGGTCTGTAGCAGTTTTTCTTTGTCTTTTTTTTTTTTTCTTATTATTATTGTTTTTATTTTGAGATGGAGTTTCGCTCTTGTTGCCCAGACTGAAATGCAATGGCACGATCTCGGCTCACGTAACCTCCGCTTCCCAGGTTCAAGCGATTCTCCTGCCTCAGTCTCCCAAGTAGCTGGGATTACAGGCACCTGCTACCACGCCCAGCTAATTTTGTATTTTTAGTAGAGATGGGGTTTCTCCATGTTGGTCAGACTGGTCTCTAACTCCCAACCTCAGGTGATCTGCCTGCCTCGGCCTCCCAGAGTCCCGGGATTACAGGCGTGAGCCATCACTCCTGGCCTTTCTTTGCCTGTTATTTTAAACTTTGAGTTTCAAGATGGGTACAGTGGCATGCACTTATAGTCTCAGCTACTCAGGAGGCTGAGGTGGGAGGATCACTTGAGACCAGGAGTTCAAGGCTATATAGTGTGCTGATTGCGCCTGTGACTAGCCACTGCACTATAGCCTGGGCAACATAGTGAGACTCTATCTCTTAAAAATTAAGTAAATTAATTAAAATTAAAATTTGAATTTTATTTAAGCTGGGTATGGGCATGCAAGACTATACTAATTTGTAATTATGATTGGAAACTGGGCTTTTTCCACATAATTTATTTGGAAGTTACTGTTTAATGTAGAGAGGAGAAATAAAATTTATAGCATTTTGGGAGCTCAGGCATTTTGGATTAAACATGTACAATCAATGTAAGAATAGCAAATGTGTTTACCACTCTCAGAAACCCTGACTTGTAGCTTTGGCACAATATTCAGGGTGGTGATAATAAAATTGTTATCATTAGATAAAGCCACACATCTTCTACTGGAGGAACAGTTCCTCATTGGCCCTGGGTGGATGTTCTCTCCTCAGTGTATTTTCACAGAATGTACTGTGCATGTTATAAACAGGTTGTATAATAGATGAGCATTTGTTTACCAGTTCTTTCGTCAAGATATCGTTTGAGGACTTGATCATAGAACATAGACAAATTGTTGTTCTGAAACTATTTTTGTTTTGTCAGTAATTTTGTTTATAAGCAAAAATTGTTACGTAAAGTCTTACATAAGACTCGTTTTTCACAGATTCTTTTGAATTTCTACAGATTCCCTGCATCCAACGCTAATTTTTATTTTTTTTGAGACGG